TCTCTGTGTCAATTGCGTGTCTTTACTTTCCAAGTTTTTGATTTCCTCTGGTTGTGAGTTCTCTTGCGTTAAGAGTGTTGCAGACGCCACCAAATTGATTGCATTTTTGCGCGAGTGTAGCATTGATGTATCTCTTTGACAGTGACGCAGCTGAACAAAAGCATGTCCGCGACTGTCAGCACATAGGGGCTTGCTCCTTATGCACTGGCGTACAAAACAGTGTGGTTTTTTCTATGAACAGAATAATTTAGATCTTCGACTCTTTCACCTTTTTTAAAAAAACAGCATTAAGTCGCTTTAGAAACAGTTTTTTGTACTGTCTATCAGCAATCAGTGCACCCATATCAAGTGCAATGACTCTGCAAGTTCGAAGAAAAAATATTTTACTTCTGGCTGCCAAAACATTCCACATAAGTTGTTTTACTAAAACCAAGTTCAACAATCTTTGGTAAAAAACTATTTTTATTCGTTAATAAAACAATATGTTGTGGTTTTGTTTGAATTTTTTATTTATTTATTGAATAGTATTTTTTTAATTTAATACTCCAAATAAAGAATAACAATTTTAACGAAATATTTTTATTTTCAAATACATTAAATATTATTTTAATGACGTATTTTTAATTGTTTTTAGCACTAAAATAATGTATTAATATTTAAATTAATAAAATGTTATAAATAATAGGTATTTTTACGATAATAATCTCATCGCTTAAAATAATGAATTATACATTAATCTATAATTTATTAAAAATGTTTACAAAAAACGAATTTTTCAATATTTAAAGACCGAATAACTGAGAAAATCAAAATGCGTGGACTTTCTGGTTATCACATCATGATAGTTTCGAAGTACCTCGAGACTGTCAGAGATTTTATTAACTTGGAGTTGGTATGCAAGAAGTTTGGTGGCAATATGGAAAAGTTCCACTTCAACCCGATTCCATTAAATTTCAAAACACTTGGATACTTGCCAAACATCGAGACACTTCACTTGTGGGATGTAACGGATGAGAATTTTGGGAATGGATTTATGATAAACAAAAGAAAAAATAGAGAAGGTAAAAATAAAGGTGTTTTAAAAAGAGAATTCTTTCGAATCATCGTGTGGTTCAATGTTGACTTTGAAACTGTTGACAGAAACAAAAATCGAAACATCAAGTTTAAAAATGTTACTTACACTCAAAAAAATAGAGAGAAATTTGGTAATAACATACCATCGAGTGTGACATCGATTGGTGAAGGTTGTTTCAGTCGATGTAGTAGTTTAAGCAGTGTTACAATACCATCAAGTGTGACATCAATTAGTAATGGTTGTTTCAGTGAATGCACCAATTTAAGTAGTGTTACAATATCATCAAGTATTATATCAATTGGTGATAGTTGTTTCAGTTATTGCAGTAGTTTGAGTAGTGTTACAATACCATTTGGTGTTAAATCAATTAATGATCATAGTTTCAGTGAGTGCAGAAGTTTGAGTAGTGTTACAATACCATCAAGTGTGACATCTATTGGTAATTATTGTTTCTATGAGTGTAGTCGTTTGACAAGTGTTACAATACCATCAAGTGTGACATCTATTGGTGCTGGTTGTTTCTATGGGTGCAGGAGTTTAAGTAGTGTTACAATACCATCAAGTATTATATCAATTAGTGATGGTTGTTTCAGTTATTGCAGTAGTTTGAGTAGTGTTACAATACCATTTGGTGTTAAATCAATTGGTGATAATAATTTCAGTGAGTGCAAAAGTTTGAGTAGTGTTACAATACCATCAAGTGTTATATCAATTGGTGACGATTGTTTCAGTTATTGCTATAGTTTGAGTAGTGTTACAATATCATCAAGTGTGACATCAATTGGTGATAGTTGTTTCAGTTATTGCTATAGTTTGAGTAGTGTTACAATACCATTTGGTGTTAAATCAATTAATGATTATAGTTTCAATATATGCAGTAGTTTGACAAGTGTTACAATCCCAACAAGTGTGACATCTATTGGTGACGATTGTTTCTATGAGTGCAGCAGTTTGATCAGTGTTAACATACCATCGAGTGTGACATCAATTGGTGATTTTTGTTTCAGTGGATGCAGTAGTTTAACAAGTGTCACGATACCATCAAGTGTGACATCAATTAGTGATGGTTGTTTCAGTGGATGCAGTAGTTTGAGCAGTGTTACAATACCATTAAGTGTGACATCAATTGGTAGTGGTTGTTTCTATGGATGTAGTAGTTTAAGAAGTGTTACAATACCATCAAGTGTCAAATATATTGGTAAAGATTCTTTCCCATCAAACACATTAGTTCATCGAAGCCAATGAGATAATTTAATGATATTTCATTTTTTATTTTTATTTTTATTAAAAAATTAAAAATAAATATTAAATCACCCCCACCCACCTCCTATAGTGTGGGAATACTTATATAGTATGGGAGGGGAATAATGAGATCTCGTGTGATGATTGGCACGTCAATGAAACGAGTTTTGAGTGGAGAATAATGTTATAAATAACAATAAATAAAAATGTTATAACAAATGTTATTAATAACGGAATGTTTTATATAACACATTATAAAAATGAATTAACCCTAATACAATTTTAAGTTCCAATATTTGATACCCTAGTGGGATATATTAATAGGTTTTGTAATGATACCCTAGTGGAATATTCCATTAGGTTTTATATTAACCCTAGTGGAATATTCCACACCATTTTTAATATTCCACAACGTAGACATTCTATTCCCCTACGAGGTGTGTGATTTTTGTAACCCTAGCAGATAAATAAATAGTAGTTTCTATATAACCCTAGTGAGGAATATTCCACTGAAAAACAATATATTCCACTCGTAGTCATAATATTCCATTCGTAGTGGGTGGTTGTTGTAACCCTAGCAGATAAATAAATAGTAGTTTCTATATAACCCTAGTGAGGAATATTCCACTAATAATCTCTA